CCAGCTCTCCACTCCGCTGTTGGAGTGGCAGCTCTGAGCTGGTTGTGGCACAGTTGCTGGGGAGGCCTCAGCACAGCTGCTCAGTGCCCGCCTCTGACGCAATTAAAGCATTGATGGCCTGTGGGCCTGCTTGCAGTGGCCTGGTGCCTCGTACTCCTCAGGTGCAGGGGCACGGACGAGAGAAGGGGGAGGTAACCCCGTTGAGGAGGAGTGGAGGTTGCCTGAGCCATCTCCTGGGCATTGGGGGAGTGATGGGAATGCCAGCAGTGGCAACATTGACTGCTGTTTACTGAGCACCCACTACTATTTACTGAACACCCACTACTGTTTACTGAGCACTCACTACTATTTACTGAGCACTCACTACTATTTGCTGAGCACTCACTTATTAGATACTGTCTTGAACAACTCTGTGAGGTTGTTATTTTCATTTTCATCTCTGCTTTACAAATCAGGAAACTGGTGCTCCAAAAGACACCCAAGATCACAGACTAGGCAGTGATGCTATGGGAACCTGGCTCAGGAGACACAGACCCTGCCTGGGGCAGCCTCACAGCGTCTCCACTAAAATACTGAATTTGAGGGCTTCGATTATGACTATAATCATATGGCAAAGCCCCAACTCAACTGAATCTGGGACCCTGGAGCTGGGGTCTCATTCCCTGCTTTTCCCCAAGGCACTTAGAGTACCACCCCAGGCCTTCTCAGCCAAGACATGGGGATCCTGCCTCTCACTGGCTCAGGGGGTTAGGGGCTCTGGGCTGCCTTCTCGAAGGTGGGGTTAATCCCAGGCAGGCACCCCCTATGCTGCACCCCACCAAGGTTAGGAAGGGGCCCTTTGATGAACAGTCCATCAGATCTGGGTCCACGTGCTTGGGAAGAGATGGTGACACACTCGAAGTCCTTGAAGCGGCAAATCAAACCTCCTAGAGCACCAGCTTCAAATATTTAGGGTGGGCAAGCCTGGTGGCTCATGCCTGTAACCCCCAGCACTTCGGGAGGCCAAGGTAGGCAAATCACCTGAAGTCAGGAGTTCAAGACCAGCCTGACCAATACAGAGAAGCCCCGTCTCCACTAAAAATGCCAAATTAGCTGGGCGTGGTGGCACATGCCTGTAATCCCAGCTACTCAGGAAGCTGATGCAGGAGAATCGCTTGAACCTGTGAGGCAGAGATTGCGGGAGCCAAGATCGCGCCATTGCATTGAAATGTGTATGCCCGGAACTCCAGACCTCTGCTTGTTCACTTGCCCATTCTTAATCACTGGTGAGGGGCACTTCAGGGAGGGTGAGAGCCAAAACTCCATCTCAAAAAAAAAAAAAAAAAAAGGTCTTAGCAGTTAAGAGGGAAGTAGGCAATTTAAAGCATTCTTTTATATTGGGCTGGGTGCGATGGCTCACGTCTGTAATCCCAACACTTCGGGAGGCCAAGAATCACCTGAAGTCAGGAGTTCAAGACCAGCCTGGCCAACATGGAGAAAACCCCATCTCTACTAAAAATACAAACATTAGCCAGTTGTGGTGGTGCATGCCTGTAATCCCAGCTACTCAGGAGGCTGAGGCAGGAGAATCACTTGAACCTGGGAGAAGGTTACAGTGAGCCGAGATTGCGCCATTGCACTCTAGCCTGGGGAACAAGAACAAAACTCTGTCTCAGAAAACAACAAAACAGACCCTCCTTCTGGGACCAGGAAGCATGTCTCTGTCAGGTCTGCATTTAGATGGCTAATGGCTCCAGAGAGAAGGCCCTTCTGCTCACTAAGCCTGTTTCCTAACAGCTGTGGGATGGTGTTTTGGTTTACATAGCACATGATCTCATCATAGATCATGCGTGGGGAAACTGAGGCCCCAGGAGTGAAAGGATCTGTCTAGGCACATGCAGAAACAAGAGAAGAGGCCCATCCCACAGCCTTGCAGCCCGGTTTCGGGAAATAGATTCTCTGCCTCCACCGTCCACCCTCCACCATTCCCTAAAGTGTCTCCCACAGCAGCAGCCTGGGCCTCCAAAGGGCACATTCAGATTTCAGGGATTTGGGGAGCCTGTGGGCGAGGACAGACTGCTCTGGGCTTTTGGGTGGACCCTAAGGAATGCAAAAGAGCCCCTTGCCACTCTCCATGAAGCTGAGTGCCCTAGCCCTCCATTTTTCCACGTGGGTATGTCCTCTTGAGAGCCCTGCTGGCTGTTAGTCAAGGCGGGTTAAAAGCTAAGGTTTGGGCCAGGCATGGTGGCTGACACCTGTAATCTCAGCACTTTGGGAGGCCGAGGTGGGTGGGTCACCTGAGGTCAGGAGTTCGAGACCAGCCTAGCTAACATGGTGAACCCCTATTTCTACTAAAAATACAAAAAATTAGCGGGTGTGGTGGGACATGCCTGTAATACCAGCTACTCAGGAGGCTGAGGCAGAATTGCTTGAATCTGGGAGGCAGAGGTTGCAGTGTGCCGAGATCACGCCCTTGCACTCCAGCTTGGGCAACAAGAGTGAAACTCCCATCTTGAAAAAAAATGCTGAGGCTTAAAGTAGCCAGGGGTAGTGGTTTCCACCTGTAATCATAGCAACTTGGGAGGCTAAGATGAGAGGATCAGCCTGGTGGTGGGCACCTGTAGTCCCAGCTACATGGGAGGCTGAGACAGAAGAATTGCTTGAACCTGGGAGGTGGAGGTTGCAGTGAGCCAAGATTGAGCCACTGCATTCCAGCTTGGGTGACAGACTGAGACTCTTATCTCAAAAAATATGTATATATAATATAATTATTACTGTTGCTGGTCCTGTAATCCCAGCACTTTGGGAGGCTGAGGCGGGTGGATCACCTGAGGTTAGGAGTTGGAGACCAGCCTGGCCAACATGGTGAAATCCTGTCTCTAGTAAAAATTCAAAAATTAGCCAGGCGTGGTAGCACACACCTGTGATCCCAGGTACCGCCCACCTCAGCCTCCCAAAGTGCTGGGATTATAGGTGGGAGCCACCCCGCCCAGCCTCCTGGCTCATTTTTGTATTTTCTGTAGACACGGGTTTTTGCCATGTTGCCCAAGCTGGTCTCCAACTCCTGAGCCCAAGGGATCCTCATGCCTCAGCCTCCCAATGTGCTGTGACTACAGCCATGCACCCACTGTACCCAGGCTATTGTTTTTTATTAAGGGAAACTTACAAGAAAACTGACAAAATCCAGGCTGGGTGTGGTGGCTCATGCCTGTAATCCTAGCAACTTGGGAGGCTGGGGCGGGTGGATCGCCTGAGGTCAGGAGTTTGAGACCAGCCTGACCAACATGGTAAAACCCCATCTCTACTAAAAATGCAAAAATTAGCAGGGCATGGTGGTGCACACCTGTAATCCTAGCTACTCGGGAGGTTAAGGTAGGAGAATCACCTGAACCTGGGAGGTGGAGGTTGCAGTGAGCCAAGATCATGTCATTGTACCCCAGCCTGGGCAAGAAGAGTGAAACTCAAAAAAGAAAAAAAGAAAAAAAAAAAACGGTCAAAATCCCAAAGAAAATTATAACTCTTAGGGGTCCTAGATTTCTCCTCCTCAGGAAATGGCAAGGGGGTATGGGAGAGGGGCTCCCCTCTTTGGCTGGCTTAGTTTCCTTCCCACAACCCGTTCCGGAGAAACTCTAAATGCCCCCATTTTTTGGTCCTTGGCCTGGAAATTTCCCTGTCTGCACCCCCTCCCCTGTAGCTTACGCTATTCAGCAGAGATTTGCGGGCTCCAGCAGGCGTCAGACTTACAGAGGCAAATGTGACCATGTAAATTCCCGGGCCCACCCGTGACACAGCCTCTGATTCAGCGGGCCTCCTGCGAGGCTGGGGCTTTAAAACCCATGTCCCGTGATTGGGATGGGGGTTGAGGGCCATATTCCGCGCCTGGCCACCAGAGGGCGCCACGAGCTGGGCTCAGCGGTCCCCCTTTGAGGTCTTGGGTCTCCAGACAGGTGGCTGTCATAAAGGATTTGCTAGTTAGACGTCAGGCAAGGGGTGAGGTGGGTCACCTTGGGCAGGCGCTAAGAGAAGGAAGCCTGAGGACAGGAAAGAGGCTCACATCTGGTACTGGGCACATGGCTGGGCCTTGGTCCTCCTGCCCCTGGACTCCAGCTCAGAAAGGCCAGAGCCTGGACTGGCCTGGAATCTGGGTGGATCTACTCTGCCCTGGGGTACACTGTTTACCCAACCCTGAGCTCACAGAGCACCTGTCTGTTCAGTTGGAAAAACCGAGACCCACACAGGGGCAAGGACTCAGTGGCAGCTGCTCTGCCTCCCAGCCCAGGGCTCTGTCTTGCCGGGGCTGGGGAGCAGGGTGGACCCCAGGGAGTTTTGCCTATGAGTCAGCTCGGAGTGCTCAGGGAACGGGACAGAGGTTGCTGGCCCGGGAAGGATGCTGGCCAGCGGTACCTGCTTCCGCAGCTGTGGGTAGCCCTGTCTGACCTCCGAGTGGGCCCCGCCCTGTACTGGGAGGCTGGGGAGGATGCTGGGGCTATGGAGGAGCGATGGAGGAGCCTTAAGGGACCCCGTGATCCAGCTCTGCTTGATGCTGAGGTCCCACGAGATAATTGTGGTCAGCGATCAGGTGGGCGTGAGACTGGTCCTGTGATGGGGGCTGCGGGCCTCTCCTCACTACCCTGCTCCTTGAAGATACCCTGGGCGGCCGTGCGGGATACCCCAGTGTCTCCAGCAATGCGCGTTGATCTCCATGGGGGGCTTGTCTTGGCGCTGGGTGGGGAGAAACCTGGTCTTCCCTGGTGGCAGGGAGAGGCTGGCCACGCCAGCTTGGCGGGGACTTTACTGAGCAGACGCGCAGGCCCCTGGCAGAGGAGGGCTGAAGGGGGAATGCCAGGCCGATGGGGGAATGCCAGGCCGATGGGGGAGGGGCTGTGGGCGGGAGGCATGGGGCGGGGCGAGACCTCCCTCCCGGCTCCAGGGGAGGGCCCGGACGGGGGCGGGGCCTTGCGGGGGGCTCGGCCCAGTTTTCCGGGCTGGGAGCGGGCGGCGGCGGCGGAGGCAGAGGCGGGGCCAAGAGCGCGCGGCCGCGCCCGCCGAGCCGGGCCTGAGCTGGTGCCCGGCGTGAGTCGCGGCCGGAGCTGTAGCTCGAGCCACAGCCGCAGCGAGAGCCCCAGCCAGAGCCTCCGAGAGCCAGAGTTTTGGAGCGCAGGCCCAGCTGGAACCGCGCCTAGCTCGCCGCCAGGCACCGGACGGAGCACCGGAACGTCGTGTCAGCTTACCACCCGGGTACGGTGGGAGGCAGCGAGCCCGCGACTCCCCGGGCTGGGCACCACCAGGCGCGGAGCCCGGATCGCCCCTGCCAGGCCTGGTCACGGCGTGAGCACGCAGGAGTTCCTGGGGTCTGGATCTGCGCGCACCCTTAAGACCTGAGGACCAAAGAGAAAAGAAGAGCGAGGATTTCATCTAAGAGTATAGCGTGGGCACTAGGCTGGGAGGAAAGTGAAGACCACCTGGCACGGGACAGAGGTGCCTGGAACCCACGCTTGAGCATCGGAGACCCTGGCATCCTAGTAGCTGCGACCTTGGCTCTGCCCTGTCTGAGCTGGAAACACAGCTTACTTAGCTCCTAGACGTCGCTGGCAAAGGCCTGGCACAAGCGGTCCTCTCACCTGTCTGAGACGGGGCACGGGGTTGGAGGAACCAGGATCTAGCCTGGCCCCAAGTGGAGCTCTCTGGTGGTCACCGGGGAGCCTGCCTCCTGCCCCAGCTCCTCTGGTGCAGATGTGCCGCTGCCCGCTGGAGCACCATGACGGCAGGATGACCTCAGCCGAAGTAGCAGCAGCAGCTGATGGTGCTCCGACGGCTGGGCCCCCAGAGTGGCCCCCTGGCAGCCCTCAGGCCCTCCGGCAGCCTGGCCGGGCCCGGGTGTTCATGGCAGCACTGGTGTGGCTGCTGGCGGGAGCCAGCATGTCAAGCCTCAACAAGTGGATCTTCACCGTCCACGGCTTCGGGCGGCCCCTGCTGCTGTCGGCGCTGCACATGCTGGTGGCGGCCCTGGCATGCCACCGGGGGGCACGGCGCCCTATGCCAGGCAGCACTCGCTGCCGAGTCCTACTGCTCAGCCTCACCTTCGGCATTTCCATGGCCTGCAGCAATGTGGGCCTGAGCGCTGTGCCCCTGGACCTGGCGCAGCTGGTCACTACCACCACGCCCCTGTTCACCCTGGCCCTGTCATCACTGCTGCTGGGCCGCCGCCACCACCCACTTCAGTTGGCCGCCATGGGCCCACTCTGCCTGGGGGCCGCCTGCAGCCTGGCTGGAGTGTTCCGGGCACCCCCCACTGGCTGTGGCTTCCTGCTCGCGGCCACCTGCCTCCGAGGACTCAAGTCGGTTCAGCAAAGTAAGTGCCTGGGTGGCCAGCTGAGGAGGTAGGGGTCTGGGTGGGTGTGTGGCCTGGATGGCCCTGTGAGGGATATGGCTGTTGTCCCATTTTACAGATGAGGAAACTGATGTTCATGGCTGTGGAGGAAGCAGAACTGAGACCAAGAGAGGGCCAACAGCTCAGAGTTTCAGGCCCCAAACTCAGGCTCTGGAGGCCCAACTCGTGTTTATTTGTTTATTTATTTATTTAGACAGGGTCTGGCTCTGTTGCCCAGGCTGGAGTTCAGTGGTGATATCTCACCTCACTGCAGCCTCGGCCACAACCCAGGTTCAAGTGATTCTTCTGCCTCAGCCTCCTAAGTAACTGGGACTACTGGTATGCAACACTATGCTAAGTTAATTTTTGTATTTTTAGTAGAGTTGGGGTTTCACCATGTTGGCCAGGCTGGTCTTAGGTAATTTTTTTTTCTCTGTCTCAGAGAAAACAGTCTCACTCTGTTGCCAGACTAGAGTGTAGTGACATAATCTCGGCTCTTTGTAACCTCCGCCTCCCAGGTTCAAGCAATTCTCCTACCTCAGCTTCCCAAGTAGCTGGGACTACAGGCACGTACCTCCACGCCCAGCTAGTTTTTGGATTTTTTTTTTTTTTTTTTTTTTTTTTTTTTGAGACGGAGTTTCGCTCTTGTTACCCAGGCTGGAGTGCAATGGCGCGATCTCGGCTCACCGCAACCTCCGCCTCCTGGGTTCAGGCAATTCTCCTGCCTCAGCCTCCTGAGTAGCTGGGATTACAGGCACGCGCCACCATGCCCAGTTAATTTTTGTATTTTCAGTAGAGACGGGGTTTCACCATGTTGACCAGGATGGTCTCGAACTCTTGACCTCGTGATCCACCCGCCTCGGCCTCCCAAAGTGCTGGGATTACAGGCTTGAGCCACCGCGCCCGGCCAAGTTTTTGGATTTTTAATAGATTTCACCATGCTGGCTGGGATGGTCTTGATCTCTTGATCTCATGATCCACCCTCCTTGGCCTCCCAAAGTGCTGGGATTACAGGCATGAGCCACCGCGCCCGGCCTAGTTTTTGGATTTTTAATAGATTTCACCATGCTGGCTGGGATGGTCTTGATCTCTTGATCTCATGATCCACCCTCCTTGGCCTCCCAAAGTGCTGGGATTACAGGCATGAGCCACCGCGCCCGGCCTAGTTTTTGGATTTTTAATAGATTTCACCATGCTGGCTGGGATGGTCTTGATCTCTTGATCTCATGATCCACCCTCCTTGGCCTCCCAAAGTGCTGGGATTACAGGCGTGAGCCACCGCGCCCAGCCTAGTTTTTGGATTTTTAATAGATTTCACCATGCTGGCTGGGATGGTCTTGATCTCTTGATCTCATGATCCACCCTCCTTGGCCTCCCAAAGTGCTGGGATTGCAGGCGTGAGCCACCGCGCCCAGCCTAGTTTTTGGATTTTTAATAGATTTCACCATGCTGGCTGGGATGGTCTTGATCTCTTGATCTCATGATCCACCCTCCTTGGCCTCCCAAAGTGCTGGGATTACAGGCGTGAGCCACTGAGCCTGGCCTAATTTTTTTTTTTTTAATAGACACCAGGTATTGCTATGTCGCCCAGGTGGGTCTTGAACTCCTAGCCTCAGCAATCCTCCCACCTCAGCTTCCTGAAGTTCTGGAATTACAAGCCAATATTTAGTGATAGCCAGTGATTCCATGCTTTGTTGAGCCCTTTTTCTCACTGTATTGTTACCATTTGATAGACAGATGAAGAGGCTTGCCCTGAGCCATGTGGCCAGTGAGCTGCAGAGGCAAAATCTGAACCCAGATAGTGGGACTCCAGACTTCTAAGTGCTGTGGCGGAGGTCTTTGGACCCAAAGGAAGGCCAGAAAGCATGGGCCAGGGAGGGAAAAGGAGGGTAAAGCCTTGAGCTGGGATTTGGAAGGTCAGGGGTCAGGCTAAGTCTGCGGAGGGCTGATGTTTACTGGGAGCTACATTGTGAAAGGCTTAGTGCTGGGTGTTGACCTTGAATTGACATGAGAACCACCAACTTCATCCCCATTTTACAGGTGATGGAACTGAGACCCAGAGAAGTTCATGGTTTGACAGATGGGGCATGGTGGCTCACGTCTGTAATCCTAGCACTTTGGGGAGGCTGAGGCAGGAGGACTCTTGAGGCCAGGAATTCCAGGCCAGCCTGGCCAATATGGTGAAACCCTGCATCAAAAATACAAAAATTGTTGCTTCTAACCTCCAAGAAAAAAAAGAAATACAAAAACTGGGCCAGGCATGGTGGCTCATGCCTGTAATCCTAGCACTTTGGGAGCCAGGGTGGATGGATCACCTGAGGTCAGGAGTTTGAGACCATTCTGGCCAACATGGTGAAACCCCGTCTCTACTAAAAATATAAAAATTAGCTGGGTGTGGTGGCAGGTGCCTGTAATCCAGGCTACTCAGGAGGCTGAGGTAGGAGAATAGCTTGAACCCAGGAGGCGAAGGTTGCAATGAGCCTGGGCAACAAGAGTGAAACTCTGTCTCAAACAAAACAAAAATTAGCCAGGCATGGTGGCATGCATCTGTAATCCCAGCTGCTACTGAAGAGGCTGAGGCACAAGAATCGCTTGAACCTGGGAGGCGGAGGTTGCAGTGAGCTGAGATCAAGCCACTGCTATCCAGCCTGGGTGACAGAGCAAGACTCAGTCTCAAAAAAAGAGTTCAGCCAGACACAGTGGGTCATGCCTGTAATCCCAGCCCTTTAGAAGGCTGAGGTGGGAGGATCATGAAGTCAGGAGATCAAGACCATCCTGGCCAACATGGTGAAACCCCATCTCTACTAAGAATTAAGAAATTAGCTGGGCGTGGCAGTGCATGCCTGTAATCCCAGCTACTTGGGAGGCTGAGGCAGGAGAATCGCTTGAACCTGGGAGGCGGAGTATGCAGTGAGGTGAGATCCGAGCCACTGCACTCCAGCCTGGTGACAGAGCTAGACTTTGTCTCAAAAAACAAATAAATAAATAAATTTATTATTTGCACAGGGTCACAGGGCCTCTAAGGATGTGAAACCTGGTTTATGTGACTCCAGATGCTGGCTCTGATGAAAGAGGGTAGCTATAGGGCCAAGACTCCAGGCCCAGACTCCGCTAGATCATTCTGGCTGAAGGTGGAGGCTGCCTTCCCACCTGTCCTACTGAGCAGCATCTGAGTCACAGCTTCTGCCCTCTCTCTGCCTCAGTCCCAGGAGACGTGGGGGAGGCCAGGACGCCCACTTAGGTTGTGGAGGCCTAAGATCCAGCCATACCTTTGCTCATATTTGCTGGGCAACCTTGGGCAGATCAGGATCTTATCTGGGCCTCAGTTTCCTCATCTGTCAGTGGAGGAGCGTTGGAGTTGATGGAATCCAAGGGGCCTCTTGCTGTCACTTCCTGCCCTGAGATCCTGTGACCCAGGTCTGGGAGAAGGAAGTGGGGACTCCAAGAGTGCTAGGCTGGGGTTGATGGCAGCCCACAGCCAGGGAAGATTGAAGTCGGAGTTCAGCCCTGCCCTGGCATATTCGGAGCCGGGACACAGAGGCCCTGTCTCTAACCTCCCTGGTCCCAAGGCAGGGTCAAAACTCAGTTCTATTTTTTGCCCTCAGGTTACATGAGACCTGGAGGCTGAGCGCAGGCATGAGCTCTGGGCGTGAGCCTGCACTGGGAAACCTGACCCTGTGGGGCCCTCCCATGCAGTTCACAGGGCTATGAAATCCATGCTGCCCCTGCTGAGAAAGTCAGTGCTCCTCACATAGGGACCCAGGCAGCCCCAGCCTGCAGGGGGCTATGGCCAGCCAGGCCTCAGGCACTTGGGCATGGAGTGGCATGTGCCTGGCATCGGGCTGTATCTTGACTTCTGCCAGCTCCCTCCTTTCTTCCCTGACCCCTGGGCAGATTGGGTCCTTGCTCTGGGTTCCTGCAGCACCCTCTGCTCCCCCCATCATGGCTCCAAATGCCATGTGTGATCGCCACGTGGTTACCTGTCTGCTGCTTCCCAGGCAGATTTGGGGCAACTCTGTTCCTGGCACCTAGCCCCAGGGCCTGGCAGAGGGTACATACTTTGTAAATTTTAAGTTTTACATTTTATTATTATTACTATTATTTTGAGACAGAGTCTTGCTCTGTCGCCCAGGCTGGAGTGCAGTGGTGAGATCTCAGCTCACCACAACCTCTGCCTCCTGGGTTCAAGCAATTCTCCCACCTCAACCTCCTGAGTAGCTGGGACTATAGGTGTGTGCCACAACACCTGGCTAATTTTTGTATGTTCATCAGGCTGGTCTCAAACTCCTGACTTGGTGATCCACCCGCCTTGGCCTCCCAAAGTGCTGAAATTACAGGTGTGATTCCAGCTGACCACCATGCCCGCCATTTATTATTTTTTTGAGGCAGTCTCTCTCTGTCACCCAGGCTGGAATGCAGCAGCGCAATCTTGGCTCACTGCCATCTCTGCCTCCTGGGTTCAAGCAATTCTTGTGCCTCAGCCTCCTGAGTAGCTGGGACTACAGGCTCATGCCACCATGCCTGGCTAATTTTTTTTTTTTTTTTTTTTTTTTTTGAGACGGAGCTTCACTCTTGTTACCCAGGCTGGAGTGCAATGGCGCGATCTCCGCTCACCGCAACCTCCGCCTCCTGGGTTCAGGCAATTCTCCTGCCTCAGCCTCCTGAGTAGCTGGGATTACAGGCACGCGCCACCATGCCCAGCTGATTTTTAGTATTTTTGGTAGAGACGGGGTTTCACCATGTTGACCAGGATGGTCTCGATCTCTTGACCTCGTGATCCACCCGCCTCGGCCTCCCAAAGTGCTGGGATTACAGGCTTGAGCCACCGCGCCCGGCCCGAGCCTGGCTAATTTTTAATTTTTATTTTTTATAGAAACAGGGGCTCACTATGTTGTCCAGGCTGGTCTTGAACCTCTGGCCTCACGTGAGCTTCCCTCTGGGCCTCTCAAAGTGCTGGAATTACAGGTATGAGCCAACATGCCCAGATGGATGGATTTATTGATGGCTCTGACCGGCAAGCCGGTTTCATAGACTGGTTTGGCTGCATGGCTCATGAGGGAATTTAGGAGGCTGGAGGCCCCACTCACAGAGATAGGAGCCCTGCAGAGAAAGAGAGAAACAGACTAGAGTGAGGGCCCGAGGGAGGTTATTTTGCTTGTTTGTTTATGAGAGGGTCTTGCTCTGTCACCCAGGCTGGAGTGCAGTGGCTCACTGCAGCCTCGATTTCCCAGTCTCAGGCAATCCTCCCACCTCAGCCTCCTGAGTAGCTGGGACTTTAGGCACACCTTCACACCCAGCTAATTTTTGTATTTTTCATAGACGTGGGGTTTCATCATGTTGCCTAGGCTCGTCTCCAACTCCTAGACTCAAGTGATTTTCCCACCTCAGCATCCCAAAGTGCCGGATTACAGGCATGAGCCACCACACCCCGCCTGAGATAGGCTTTGAACAAAAGGAGGTTTCTACTGCAGGAGGCTCCAGGAGAGGAACCAGGGCCAGATTCAGACTTGAGTGTACATGGCTGATGCCAGCTCCATTCCCAAGAGCAGAGTTTGTGGGAACAGAGGGCAAGTATGTAAAAAGAAAGCTGGGCACGGTGGCTCTCACCTGTAATCCCAGAACTTTGGGAGGCCAAGGCAGGCAGATCACTTGAGGTCAGGAGTTCAAGACCAGCCTGGTCAGCATTGTAAAATCTGTCTTCTGAGCTCTCATGCCGAAGGGGGAGATGTACTCAGATAGAGAGTTTGCAATGGCAAGAGAGAAGTTCTTGGGTCAAGATGGTCACAGGTGTTGGGGAGCAGCTGCTTCTTCCTGGGGAGTCCTGAGAAGGCCGCCTGGAGGAAGAGGCATGCAGTGATGATGACAATATGTAACCATGACAGCAAACATTTGTTAGGGCCTCCCTAGGTGCCCATACCATGCCCAGCTCTTTATATTGATGGAGGAGGAAAGGGTGATCCGGGAACGGGAAACAGGCCCTGCCAGGGCACAGGTGTCAGCCAGCAGGACCAGGATGTGGGGATCATGCCAGCTGCCGGGGTGAGCCGTTAGCACTGGGCATCAGGCCCTGTGTTCGGCACCTCACATGTAGGGGGATGTTGCCACACTACTCACAAGGAGACCAAGGCGTGGAGAGAGGGAGACAGGGTCACATAGCCCGTGAGGAGCAGAGGGGACAAGCCAATAGCCAGCAGACAGGGTTTAGAGAAGGGTCAGCTGTTGTCTGCATGTGGCAGAACCCTGGGCATGCTACGGTAGAAAGAGAGGTGGCAATAAGGCAGGACAAACAGGCTGACATTTTGGGGCTCCCAGGTAGAAGCCGGTCACCTCTGACAGAGAATCGCTGCCCTTTCCTTGGGCTGCAGGGAGGGATGTACAATGGGTGTGAGAAGATGGGTAGGAAGGTTAGGACCATCCTTCCTGGCTGCTTTGTAGAAGGTGAAATTTGCCAAAGGTGAAGTTCACCTGAAAACCCAAACACCTTCCTGTGATGGGATCTTTAACGTGTAAGCCACAGGCAGCTCATAACAGGGCTAACTTTGGAGCCTACGAGCAGGAGGCATTCCGATTATCTGCTCATTTCTAGAAACGTTTAAACCAGAGGAACTGTTGCCTAGAGAACAAAGCTAAAACATCGGAATGAAATTGAGAGAGAAATAAGATTTCCTATTCTAAGCATAGCCTATGAGTAAGCATCTCTGGCTTTTTGGAAAGTGTGTGTCAGAAAATGCATAGAGGCTCGCAGAGCCCTGGGAGGGGCTCATCTCTCTCCACTAACTTGGAGAAGGCCCCATGCCATCATTGTCCTCATCCAAATAATGCCATTTTAGCCAGGTGCAATGGCTCATACCTGTAATCGCAGCACTTCGGGTGGCCAAGGTGAGCAGATTGCTTGAGTCTAGGAGTTTGAGACGAGCTTGGGTGAACCAGATGACAAAACTCCATCTCTACAAAAAAAAAAAAAAATTATCATGGGTGATGGTGCATGGCTGTAGTCCCAGCTACTTGGGAGGCTGAGGCAGGAGGACTGCTTGAGCTCGGAAGGCAGAGGTTGCAGTCCAGCCTGGGCAACAGAGCCAGACCCTGTCTCAGATAATAATAATAATGTCATTTCACCTGGGCACCCCTTTGTGAATTGGCTGGTGGTGGCAGGTGTACACACAGGTACAGAGACACACACAGGCAAAGCAGCAAGATTCCCCCTTCCTTTGCAAAGTGAAAAACTTTCCTCTTAGTCCTGGATTCATCTTGACAAGCCCCAGTATTAGCAGAAAAAAAATGCTAATTATTAGTTATAAACAGTGAGTAGGAGCCAAGATCCAACAATGACCTTTTGTTCCCTTGTCACTCCAGTGGTCATAAGTGAATGAAGCAATGAATGGGTCAGCCTTTTGATCCAAACAATTTATTATTTTCTTTTATAAACTCTTCTTTTTTTAATGCAAGGGCCCCCATGTAGCTAGTAAGTGGCAGAGCTGGGACCCTCTGCTGGCCTGCCCCTGTCGTGGTAGCTGGAGCTGCAGTGTGGGAATAATAATGGCTGAGGCCAGGAAAGGTGGTTGGGGCCAGCTGACGCAGAGTCTTTGAAGCTAGGTTAAGACTCTAGGATCAGGCCGGGTGTGGTGGCTCATGCCTGTAATCCCAGCACTTTGGGAGGCTGCAGCGGGTGGATCGCGAGGTCAAAAGATCGAGACCATCCTGGTCAACAAGGTGAAACCCCATCTCTACTAAAAATACAAAAATCAGCTGGGCATGGTGGCGCATGCCTGTAGTCCCAGCTACTCGGGAGGCTGAGGCAGGAGAATTGCTTGAACCCAGGAGGCGGAGGTTGTGGTGAGCCAAGATCGTGCCATTGCCCTCCAGCCTGGGTAACAAGAGCGAAACTCTGTCTCAAAAAAAAAAAGAATGTAGGATCTTGGGCCAGGCCTGCTGGCTCACGCCTATAATCCCAGCACTTTGGGAGGCTGAGGCAGGCAGATCACCTGAGGTCAGGAGTTCGAGACCAGCCTGGCCAACGTGGCAAAACCCCGTCTCTAAGAAAAATACAATAAATAGCCAGGTGTGGTAGTGCATGCCTTTGATCCCAGCTACTTAGGAGGCTGAGGCAGGAGAATCACGTGAACCCGGGAGGCAGAGGTTGCAGTGAGCCAAGATCGCACCATTGCACTCCAGCCTGGGCAACAGAGCGAGACTCTGTCTCAAAAAAAAAAAAAGAAAGAAACTAGGACGTTTTTCTTCAGGGCCAGGGCAGCTCCTGAATATTTATTTTTATTTTAGATACAGGATCTTGCTCTGGTCACTGAGGCAGAGTGCAGTAGCGTCATCCTAGCTCACTGTAGCCTTCTTCTAGCTCAAGTGAACCTCCTGCCTCAGCCTCTCAAAGTGCTGGGATTGCAGGCACAAGCCACTGCACCTGGCCAAGTTTTTGTTTTTTTTGAGACAGGATCTTGCTCTGTTGCCCAGGCTGGAGTGCAGTGATGCACTTACTGCAACCTCCACCTCTCCTGAGCTCGAGATCCTGCCTCAGCCTCCTGAGTAGCTGGGACTACAGGCACGTGCCATCACTCCCAGCTAATGTTTGTACTCTGTAGAGATGGGGTTTTACCATGTTGCCCGGGCTGGTCTCAAACTCCTGGGATCAAGTGATTTGCCCTCCCAAAGTGCTGGGATTACAGGCCTTAGTAATGGTTTTTGAGCCACTTAGCTTTCGTGGTTATTGATCATTTAGATATCCCAAGCAGATCATTGTTTCAGCCCATGGGAGGTGGTTCGAAGTGGGTGATAACAGACTTATTTAGTTTAGTTTAGTTTTTATGTTGACTGAGCATTTCTCATTTAAGGGCTTTATGTATGTCATCTTTTAAAATGTTTACAACAACCCCATGATTAGGTTTTATTATTACTCAACTCTCTGGGTGAGGAAACTCAGGTTTACAGAGGGTAAGTGCCTCTCGTGAGCCCAGGTCACAGGGAGTCAGCAGGTGGATGCAGGTCACAAACCCAGGTGGTCCGACTGCAACTCTTGACTGTCACATTTCAGATGAGGAGCCACTAGCCCGAGGGGTCCAGGTAGCCTTGGAGGACCGGTCAAGGGGAGCATACTGGGGTCGCTGGAAGGGGTTGTATCCCTCCAGGTGCTCATGCTGTTGTCCTGTTGCAGGTGCCCTGCTGCAAGAGGAGAGACTGGACGCGGTGACCCTGCTTTATGCCACCTCGCTGCCTAGCTTCTGCCTGCTGGCAGGTGCAGCCCTGGTGCTGGAGGCTGGCGTGGCCCCGCCGCCCACTGCTGGTGACTCTCGCCTCTGGGCCTGCATCTTGCTCAGCTGCCTCCTGTCTGTTCTCTACAACCTGGCCAGCTTCTCCCTGCTGGCCCTCACCTCTGCCCTCACAGTCCACGTCCTTGGCAACCTCACCGTGGTGGGCAACCTCATCCTGTCCCGGCTCTTATTCGGCAGCCACCTCAGTGCCCTCAGCTACGTGGGCATCGCACTCACTTTTTCAGGAATGTTCCTTTACCACAACTGTGAGTTTGTGGCCTCCTGGGCTGCCCGTCGGGGGCTGTGGCGGAGGGACCAGCCCAGCAAGGGTCTTTGAGACTTGGGGGATCTCAGGAGCCACCTGAGACAGCCCTGGCCCGAATCCAACCTCAGCTGTGGCCATAGAAAGAGTGGAGAACAGGGCCGGGCATGGTGGCTCATGCCTGTAATCCCAGCACTTCCAGAGGCCGAGGTGGGTGGATCACCTGAGGCCAGGAGTTCGAGACCAGCCTGGTCAACATAGCGAAACCTCGTCTCTACTAAAAATACAAAAATTAGCTGGGTATGGTGGTGTGTGCCTATATAGTCCCAGCTACGTGGGAGACTGAGGTGGGAGGATCACTTGAGCCCTGGAGATTGAGGCTGCAGTCAGCCAAGATCATGTGCCACTGCACTCCAGCCTGGAAGACAGAGCAAAACCCTGTCTCAAACAAACAACAAAAAAGGTGGAGAACAGGCAGTGACCTCTGCTGGGGGTGATGGCAGGGAGGGGAACCTTCTGGAAGGGCTGCCTTGGAGGCTGGGATGGGGACTCCCAGGGAGACCTGCCTCCTATCCCTGCCTGCCTCACCCCTGCCACAGACTCTGCTCACCACTGGATGGTGGGTCCAAGCCTGGCACAGTCCTTGTGCTTGTCAGAGTCATTATTATGAGTAATATCAACTACGATGCCAAAAATTGCTGGGCAAACTTTGAAGACCTCAATGTATTATGATGACGATGATGATGATTCTTGGTGGTTACACAATCCTTCCTCCTGGTGGGGGCAGCTAGGAGGCCCAGCGCGGGGGTCTTCTATCCTGCTGGGCTCCTCTAGGGAGTTGGGGTAGTCTGTGCCAACTCCAGGCAGCTGCTGTGGCCTCACCCCTGGGACCCCCAATTTTGGGTCATCTATCTTCAAATACACTATTTTTGCTTGTATGCCTGTGTCATTTGTTGGGGGTATAGAGGGGACATAGGGAGACCCACACAGAAACTAGGACATCCTCCCTTGCCCATCGAGTTCTGTCTAGCCCCCACCCTGAACCCAGCCCCATTCCCTCAAAGCCCTCCACTGGCCAAGCCACCATTGCCCATCTTCTGGACAGTGGCAATGGCCTTTCCCTTGCTCTGCCCTGGCCCCTCTACTCATCTTACACACAGCCCCCTTCACCCAGAGGGATCTTACTAAAACATGCACATTCGGATGCTCCTCACTGCTCCTGGGACAAAGCCAGACCCTAAGGCCCTCAGGCCCTGGTACCTGCAGCCTCACCCAGCCCATCTCCCTTCTGCTGGACTCTGCCTTCCAGCCTCACCGGCTTCTTTCAGTTCCTGGTGATACCAGACCTACTCACTGAAGCCTGTGCACATTGCTGTTGCCTCTGTCCAGTCCCCAGTTCCTATACAACTTCCTCCCCTCTCACGGCTTAAACCCTTGCCTGAAGGAAAAAAACCCAAACATGCAACTCTTTTTAAAAAGAGAACTCCAATCGCTTGAGCCCAGGAGTTGGAGGCTGCAGCGCACTATGATCTCCAGCCTGGGTGACAGAGCAAGACCCTCTCTCTTTGAAAAAAAAAAAAAAAAAAACGAAACAAGGAAGGCTGGGGGTCTTGACAAGGGACCGTGCTCAGGAGGCTTGCGGGGGTGCAGGGGGGTGGGGCTCCCCCATAGGGAACCTAAGACAGGAGTCCCAACCCCCAGAGCTCCCTGACCCACTGGCCAACCTCAGCTTCGTTATTTACCTATCTGACCCTTTCCTTGGCTCCTGTAACACTTAACTCTCCCCACCCAGCTACCTCTCCTGGAGACCACTTGTTAAAGATGATAAGGGCCCAGGCTGGAGTGAGGACACCTGGGACCTGACGCTGCTCTACCCACCTGACGGGGAGCCTCCCCTTGCTGGGCCTCAGCTTCCAGATCTGCAAACTGAAACTGATGATCCCTACAGAGAGGATGCGGATCGGCAGCGCCGGGCAGGGCCAGGAGTGAGGAAGGAGGTGATGGCACCAGCTGGCTCTGCTTTTGTCATGGGGTAGTCACTCAACCTTTCCGGAAAACAGGTGCAAATGTCTCTCGTTTGTGTGAGGACCAAGAGCCGGGCCAGGCTGGGGCTGAGGTCTGGGGAGACTGAAATTCAGGGAGGACTCATTCAGATTCAGTAACCAGAATTCGTCACACAGGGCCAGTCCGTGCTGGGCAGGGCTGAGTGAAGGGCCAGCCCACGGCAGGGTGGGAGGTGGACAGGGAAGGCCTGGGAGGACCGGCATGGGATTTCCTGGCCCCAGCCTCCGCCCAGGCTGGCCTTACAGAAGGGGAAGTGGGCCAGGACTGAGTCATCCGCCACCCCCCCTCCCTGTGAGTCAGAGATACCGCTGGCCCAGCCCAGTCCCTGGGCAGCTTGGGTACCTCTGGCCTCTACTCTCAGGCTTTGCCAGGCAGGACGCAGGGATGGATGGCTGTGGTCAGAGCCTCCTTGGTGACTCAGGACCTTTTCCCATCCAACGGGCCCTCACTGGCATAGCAGGGACCTCCCTGCACCACTGTCACTTCTAGGCCTTGTGGGATGCTTGGCTAATGAGTGAGCCTCACGTCAGATCAAAGCCTGCCCCTGGTGGTTGTGGGGACAGGTAACTGGGGTTATGTATGACCTTGGAGCTGATTTGTCAACAGATTCGGGACCAGACATTGAGGTGATTCCCGCAAGGTCACAGCCAAAGCCATCCCTATCACCCCACCCAGCAGTGGACACAGAGAGCACTGGATTGGGAGTCAAAAAGCTTGGGTTTGGTGGGACCTAGTGGCTCACGCCTGTAATCCCAGAACTTTAGGAGGTGGAGGCAGGCGGATCACCGGAAGTCAGGAGTTTGAGACCAGCCTGGCCAACATGGCGAAACCCTGTCTCTACTACAAATACAAAAATTAGCCAGGCATGGTGGCAAGTGCCTGCAATCCCAGCTGCTCAAAAGGAGCAGCCTCCCAAGTTCAAAGGATTCTTTGAACTTGGGAGGCAGACGTTTCAGTGAGCCGTGATCCTGCCATTGCACTCCAGCCTGGGGATAGATCGAGAGACTCCTTCTCAAGAACAAAACAAAACAAACAAAAGCTCAGGTTTGAGTCCTGGCCCCTCCTACTTAGATGTGACGGTGTCCTTGGGAGTGAAGATCACCGAGATAACAGTGGGGAGGGAGGATCTCCTTGAAAGGTCATTGTCCCTCCTTGCTCTGCCTCTCAATAGTTCTGTTGCCTCAGGCAAGTCTCTTCACCTGCTTAAGCCTCAATTCTCTGCATCCAGTCCCTGCTGGGAAGCTTCTTTTTAGGAAAATAGGTGTTACCTCCCTTAGGAAGCTCTGCTGGCCCACAAGACCCCACTCCATGCCAGGCTGAGTTTGAAGCTCCAGCCGAAGCTCACCCCACTTTTCAGGCAGGGCCCAGATCACATCCCACCATCAGGGCCGGATTCTTGTCTCTCTTCTCCGCTGGACTGGGCTCCAGGAGGGCTCGCTGCTCTCTCCCAAGCACTGGCACAGCATATGGCATGGAATGGGCAGGAGAGAATATTAGTCAAAAACAGGGACAGCAGAGTATGATGGGAGCACCTGTAGTCCAAGCTGAGCAGGAGGCTGAGGCAGGAGGATTGCTTGATCCTGGGAGTTTGAGGCTGCCATGAGCTATGATTGGACCACTGCACTTCAACCTGGGCAACAGAGCAAGACTCAAAAAAAAAAAAAAAACAGGCCAGGTGCATAATCCAGCACTGGGAGGCTGAGGCAGGTGGATTACTTGAGGTCAGGAGTTCAAGACCAGCCTGGCCAACATGGTAAAACTCTGTCTTTACTAAAGATACAAAAATTAGCTGGGCATGGCGGTGGGCTATAATCCCAGCTACTTGCTTGAGCCCAAGAGGCAGAGGATTCTGCAAGCCGAGATCACACCACTGCACTCCACCCTGGGTGACAGAATGAGACTCCATCTCAAAAAAAAAAAACAACAACCAAAAACCCCAAAAAACAAAAAACAGGGGCTCTGGAGTCAGACTTGTGCTCAAAGCCTGGCTTCAGCATCTCTGAGCTGTGTGACCTTACACAAGGTCCTCCCGACCTGTGCCTCTGTGCATTGAGTGGGGGCTGCAGTGGAACCTAACCCCCCACCAGCTTCCGGAGCTATAATGGAAAAAGGCCCGGGAAGACCGCAGTCTTATCACAGATGCTTCCACTTCCTCCTCAAGGATTCTGATGCTATCTCCCCAGCCTGCTAGCGCACTCTGAGCGTCCCCCAGGCATGCTCCCCCCGCCCCAGCAGAGCATCGTGGATGCTGAGTCTCCAGCCTCCTTGTCCTGCTTCGGGGAAAGCCTGGGAAGCTGCGTCTGTGCTGGGCATCCTGCCATTGCGGACTTCTAAACAAAGGCCTGTCTCAGGCCCAGTTGCCTGGTGCCTCTTCTACCCTCCCTAGTGGCTCTCAGATTGTCATTCCAGGGGCTCAAGACAAACAAGGACTCTTCATGATCCTGGTTTGCCCTGGCCCCCTGGAAGGAGTAGCTCCTTCATGCTACTCTGCCCTCAAATCAGCTCAAGGATGTCAGGTCCTCCACCACTGCACTAAATAACTTTCTGGAAGTAGCACAAAATACTTCGCTGAGGGCCACTTAATGGAGGACCATGAGAAGTTTTGAGCCATGATCTTAAATAAACATTTCTTTTCTTTTTTTTTCTTGAAACAGTGTCTTGCTCTGTTTCCCAGGCTAGAGTGCAGTGACACGATCTTGGCTCACTGCAACTTCGGCCTCTGGGGTTCAAGCGATTTTTCTGCCTCAGCCTCCTGAGTAGCTGGATTACAGGCCTATGATACCGCCTCACCTAATTTTTGTATTTTTCTTTCTTTCTTTTTTTTTTTTTTTTTTTGTAGAGATGAAGTTTCACTATGTTGTCCAGGCTGGTCTTAAACTCCTGACCTCAAGTGATCCACCCACCTTGGCCTCCCAAAGTGCTGGAATTCCAGGTGTGAGCCACTGCCCTTGGCCAAAATAAACATTTCTTCAATTTAGTCTGGACCTTATGTAGAGAAAAAATTGGAGGGGCTTGAGACAGGAAGCGGGAGACTAGGGAAGACCTGCTGTTGTAACCACACGACAGTGGGGACAGCGCTGAGGCAGAGTGGAATCAGTTGTATTGATTTAAAATAACAAGCTGGGCGTGGTGGCGCGTGCCTGTAGTCCCAACTACTCGGGAGGCTGAGGTGGGAGCATCGCTTGAGCCCAGGAGTTCTGGGCTGTAGTGCGCCATGCTGATCAGGTATCCGCACTAAGTTCAGCATCGATATGGTGACCTCCTGGGAGTGGGGGACCACCAGGTTGCCTAAGGAGGGGTGAACTGGCCCAGGTCGAAAATGGAGCAGGTCAAAACTCCCATGCTGATCAGTAGTGGGATCACACCTGTTGAATAGCCTGTTGAATAGTCAGTCCCCAGGGCTGTAGGGACTGCACTCCAGCCTGGGCAACATAACGAGACTCTTAAAAAAAATAGACTAGGCCGGGCGAGGTGGCTCAAGCCTGTAATCCCAGCACTTTGGGAGGCTGAGGCGGGTGAATCACGAGGTCAAGAGATCGAGACCATCCTGGTCAACATGGTGAAACCCCGTCTCTACTAAAAATACAAAAAATTAGCTGGGCATGGTGGCGCATGCCTGTAATCCCAGCTACCAGGAGGCTGATGCAGGAGAATTGCCTGAATCCAGGAGGTGGAGGTTGCAGTGAGCCGAGATCGCGCCATTGCACTCCAGCCTGGGAAACAAGAGTGAAATTCCGTCTCAAAAAAAAAAAAAAAAAGAAAAAAAAAATAGAATAACAATTTATTGCCATGTGTGTTGGTTCACGCCTGTAATCCCTACACTTTGGGAGGCCAAGGCAGGCAGATCACCTGAGGTCGGGAGTTCGACCAGCCT